CATGCAAATGTAGCTGGATTGAACCAGTCTGTATTTTGTGGACCCTTTTTGCATATACTTTTCCCAGCTAGTCCTGCAGAGTTCTAGACATACAAATAGCAATGGAAGGTATTTTGCAAAGAGATAATAAATGCAAAACCAGCCATCAAGAGGAAATGAGTGGTAAAGATTCTTATCTACTTTATCGGTGACAAACTTTTTGCACTCATTTTTGCAACAGATTGATTTTGCTGTAAATCCTGGATTGCTACAAACTTGGGACTTCCTAGGAATGAAGGTATGTCATACGGTAAAGGAATACAGCTACCCACCTTACACAGATGAATGATATAATAGAAATGGTCTTACCAAATACTCCAGAAACATGTGTATATACAGCAAGGCATTATTTTTTCTGCTTCTTTTTAAGTAGAGCAAATCATATTGTTTGCTCTGTATTATGCTCTTTTTGCATATGGTCCCTTTGAACTCAAGACACAAACGCCCAACACATCCTCCAACCCTGCTCCCTCTGTGCAGAGTGAGATAAAGGTTAAAAAAGTTGATTCCATTGTTGCTATTCACATTTTCTTCAGTCTGTTTTATACATGCTCATGCTCTTTCCTTGCCACCTTTAACCAACTATGCCTATTCAGTCTATGACTGCTGGTTTTAGGCATACAAAGGGTAACAACTCACATTGCATTTTCTCCAAAGAGTTACAAACTCGTCTTCAGTCTTTTCCCCTTCCCCAGGGTCCAGGTCATTTTCTAGTCTCTGTAGATCTTTTTTCAGCCCCTGGACATCTGCTTCTAATTGTCTGGCTTGGGACTCATAGGCACTTTCTGACTGTTGGATCTTGAGCAATCTCTCCTCCTCCTCCCTACTCAGCAGTTTCAACTTCTCCAAGTCTTTTCTTAGCTCTTCGAGTTCATCTTTCATTCTCTCAGCTCCGAGTGGGGAGGTATTCTGAATCACCTCTGCACACTGATTTTCAAGGTGCTTCCATTTCCTTCCACCACTCCTAATGGATTTGGCAATTTCCTACAGAAAGAAGTTAAATAAACATTAGCTGCAGGAATGGGAAGCTGGGGAAAAAGGTGAAAGCAGTAGGACAATAAGGCTACCTCTCCTGGTTGTGCATACTTCTTCACTTCTTATTTCAAAATATGTCTTTTTTCAAGTGACCAGAAGCCAGGGTTGGTAATTTGACTGCCTTCTGAGTAATACTAACTGCCACAATTCTGAAAATACTGGCTTGATATTCGGAAATGCTTGTCACCTGAGGTCCCTAATAAAGAAAACAGGAGCTGCAGGCAGTAAGAAATACTACTAATCAGATCTCAGATTTAAGGCTGAAAAGTTTAAGGAGTGGCACCAAAATACTGGATGCTATCCTCAGAACTGGCATTTTTATCACCGGCTCTAAACTCTCAAAACCTGTGAGCCTTCAGGCTCTATTTGGATCATGTTTACCAAATATCATTCATTTAAACAATTTTAAAGGGTGAGATTCTCAAAGAATCACATAACCGTAGGAGATCAGGCTTTAAGAAAAACAAAGCAGACCAGCCTGTGACTCATGCTATAGCTGGGAGAACGATATGTACTAACAGTTTCAGGACCTGACACAACTCTTGTCCCCTAGCCCATGTTACAATCACCACCTTATTTTGTTTGTGTAATTCTTTTCTCAAGTACACCCTTGTGTAGTTTAAGAAACATACAGGCACGGAAAACACACAATCCTGGCCCCTTGTCAGAATTATATTGCTTAATGACCTTCAGTGCCTTTAACTTGTCCTCTACCGAAGACTTGGTTGCATCTCCAGTGCAGCAGTTGAATCTTTCTGTCACACCGTTCAGCCAGGATCGAAACTGGTTGACGTTAGCGCTGTACCGCTCATGTTCCTTGGTTATCTTTTCAAGCAGTTTCACTCTGCTCTGTAACAAGAGACATCAGAAGCTGTGAGGACAGTGCTTATTTGGCTCTTTTTCCTTTGCACTAACCCAAAATTTATAGAGTCCCTTTCTGCAAGCCCTGATAGCAGTTGGCCTCCACAGGAATTCACAGTTCGCCTCAAGAAACTGGAGACAAAAGGGCATGAAGGCTTGTCCCTGTCTCAGTCATGCTGCAGGCTCTCAGGGCTAATCTCCAAGGAGAAGACACAAACTGCAAGATCCTCTCAGGTAAATTTCTAGCCTCCCCTTTCCAAAACTTTCTATTTTCTCATTAGAAAAAGCAAAAAGAGACAGAAGACTGTTTCTGGTTTTGAATTTGGGAGACAAGCAATTATGCTCCTCACCCTGGTTAAAAATAAAGATGAGCACACAATAGATTGACTTTGCCTATCTGTCAAAATGAAAGTAAGAGAGACTGTGCTCGGGGCATGCAACTTGTTTAAGGTGTTCATTATTTAAGCAGGCTGTATTGAAAGTGACCATCAACTTGAATCATGTAGCCCAGGAACTTTCATACTTATTCAATTAGCAGATCACAAACCATCCTATGCAGACCCTAGGAGAAAATTTAAGCCTATGGGAAGCAGGCTTCATTTTCTGAGTTTCTGCGTGTGCACCCTATAACTGACAATCCCTGAACTTCCAGGGGCCTGCACATCATAAGTTGCTCCCCACTGACCCAGTCTGGCACCCCTCAAAACAAGGCAGACTCGCATTTGCTCCAACTATCCTTGTTTCTCAGGAGAAGTCTAGGCCTTGCTGAAGGGAATTTTACACAAATCACAAGGAATCCTGCTCTGCTGTTTCCCTAGCATAATATCCAACCTAAGTATTATTTCCTACAAAATCAGACTGATTTTTTTCTTGCTCTTAACTAGTTGGCATGGAAAGCAATTGAGGTACATTATGGTTACATTAGAAAAAAATTGTTCCTTGTGCAATCCATTTAGTGCTTGCAGCACCCTTGCGAGGCTTTGCTGTCACAGACAACAGGCCGAGTTTCATTTTGCGTAACGCAGGGGAAATCCCGTGCCTCTGAGCAGAGCTTCATACCAGCTGCCCTCCACAGAGAGTAGGGTGATAGCTGCTATGGTGGGCAGAATTTCCAAGTCCCCTCTGCGCTTCCCTTGTCTCTGTGAGGTTCTGGGCATGTCCCCACACTGGTCAACCTGCCTGGGGTGGCAGCAGGCCATCGCTGTCCTGTCAGCCTTTCTCCAGCCAGGCCAGGGTGGCATGAGCATCAGTCACCAGGGGATCTCCTGTGTGCTGTGTGTTGGTGGCCCCTCTAGGGCTTTGCCCTTCAAATTTAGGAAAGGTTATGCCCATGGTGCAGTACAAAGCTACCACGCTCCAGGTGACACCACATCAGTCTGCGTTTTCCACACTGCCACTGCAAACTCTGCTGATTTGTGCAAATCAAGAGCGACTCCCCTAAAGTTAGTTAACTTGCTTTGGGACAAAAGAGGCACAGCTAAGGAACAACTGCTTCCCATGGAGGATGAAATGCTGCCCACTTATTAGAGCAGGACCGTTAATAGCACCATCTATGCAAACATGGGTTTGGATAAGCCCAAAAAGCAGAATTACGACTGCAGACTTCTGTGGCCAAGATGTATCCAGCAGAACCACTCGGTTGTTTGCTAAATCCCCTTGTCTTGATTCTCAAATCTGCAGAGGTGCACACAGGTTAAACAATTCTCATCTTGACCTCAAGTTAGGGACTTGAAGAATGCAATCCTATAGCAGCGTAAATGGGCCAAACTTCAAAATGAAACAAGTCAGCCCAAGCATATTGAGTCCAGGGAATTAGGCTAATTTGTTGCACTGACAGAAGCTCCAAAGGGAGCAAGTCAGAATAACAAAGCGGAGCTATCAAACTCAAAAGTCTAATGCTAATATATAGAGGGTTAAAAAGGAAGTTGAAATGCCCTGCCCCTGGCCAGGCTATTCAGCTGAAACAAAGGAGTGCACAGTTCGGATACTCCTGCTGGTCGGTGAAGTCAAGGAAGAGATGCCATGGATCTGCACAGACTGTGCTAGCTGTCAAACAAAAGGCTTACAAAGAGCTGGCTGAGCACCCTCACCCAAGAGGTTAGGCAGGGAAACTTTCTAATTATGGAAAATATGTTATCACTTGCTTCTGTTAGGTTAGCTGTTTGGGAAGCAGGACAGTATTAAACTCCATCTCCACATGCACTTGGTTAATTGCCGCGGGCTGCAGAGGAAGAGATGTGTTCTGGGCAGGATATGCCCAGCCCTGGATACTCAAGGAGGGTAGACGAAGGCATAGGAAACTCTCTCCCCTAAGCTCCCCTTACAGTCAGCAAAGGCAAATAAGCCTCCTCTGGAAGGTAATCTAGAGCACATAAAAGAAGTTTCTGCTTTAAATCCCTCTGTGGCACCTCAAGTAGAGTACAGAAAGCTCCTGTAGCCTTTCCTGGTGCTTTTAGTCTTAGCTCTAGGGTATGTGAGGGTTGGCATTATAAATATCTAGGTTTCAGTTAACAGAGACAGCATGGACTGAAATTCATTTGATGTTCTCAGGCATATTTGATATATTTGACTGAATGTCAACATACTGTATATCATAACTTTTCTTACCATGTTCAGTCATCATTTATGCTAAAACCCAGAATCATCTACCTCTGCACATTGTTATTTTACTAGGCAAGGGAAAGCAAGTAGGAAATGGCTGCCACATCTAAAAATACCCCTGTCAATGTAATTAAAAGAAAATTACGTGCTTTTAAAAGTTGGGAATGATAAGGACACACATTAGCACTAAGAAAGAAAAAAAAAATCCCACCACTTGTTCATACCAGAGAAGCAATGTCACAGGCAAACCATTTAAGAAATACTGTCCAAGAGCTTGCCTTCTGATAGAGCTGGACAACTGCACAGGATCTAAAAATGCTCTTCAAACACAAGTGTAATCTACACACACCAGTGAGCCTCCTCTGGGAGGCAGCTCAGGCATTCAGCTGGCAAGTCACATTTAGCCTGGCCTCCCATCGTGCAAGGGGCCGGAGCAATCCCCTTACAACTCCTGCGTCTCTTTCATTCATTCCTCCCTCCTGGTGGAAGAGGTGGCACAGTTTCTCTAACTAGCGTTATACTTTCCAACACGATTCCCAAGGTGCCTGTAACCTTGGCACTAGCTAACAGACCCTGCGTTTACTTTAGCTGCAAAATCCAAGGCTTCCCAACTCTCTTCTTTGTTCCATACCTCCTGAAAGAAGGATTTCTTAGCTGGATTCTCTCACTCCATCCTTCTTTGAAATGTGGTATTTGTAACCAATGCCAAAGAAAAGCTTTTTCTAGCATCTCAGTTGGCTGCAGCTATAAAGACATATTTTGTCTAAGTACTATGAGCCACTTCCTGATCTCATTTACACCAGCATGTATCCAAGCCAGTTAGAAAAATTACACTATGTAAAACCAGTCTCAGGGAGGTCACATTCTGGCTTTGAGTATTCAAATAACTTGCTTGAAAGAACTGCCTTATTAAAATAGCTAATGACTGTCTCCTGATTCAAAACCAAAGACAAATCTTGGTTAGAATAGAGTGAATGAGAATTTTAAATGGCAATCGAGATAGACAACACCTGAAATTCCCAGGAACCTTTTTATTTGTAAATACGGTTGACTTGTAATGAAGAGATTTACCTTTAAAAATAAAACAAGGTTGAGGCACAAGTCTGTTCGTGGCTTTACAGCCTCTCTGTGGAGCTGCAGTTACAGAATTTCCAAATATGCTCTGTTTTTTGAGAAACTTATTAGCAACAGTTTTGTCTTTATAGCTAAAAAAAAAAAAATCTGAATTTCACATTCATGAGAGGTGCCAGCTCAAGGTTTTTTTATATTGTTTTGGGGTTTGTGTGGGTTTTTTTAAAACAGAAAAAGTATCTGTAGAGCAAGAGCAGTAGCATGAGCATCCCAGTGTTGGTGGTGTTCTAGTGTGATCTGAAGTTAACTTTGTATGACAGCACCCGGGGTGGGAGAGCATATATCACTGCCAGGCTCCAGTTCTGGACTGAAACATAGGTGTGGGAAGAAATAGAAGGCAACTTTATGACAGAGGCAGAGAGCAAAGCCAATGCAGTGAGAATTATTTGTATTTGCACCAGGTAATTCCAGCCTATGGAATTCCTGGAAGCCACTGTGAGACAAATACTAGATTTTAATGTCTATGTGCTTGCGATAGATGTGTCTATATATATTCCAAATATCCTTTTGAATATTTCTATCCATATAGGCTAGTAAGAAACTGAAATTTTCCACCCATCTGCAGATGTCTGCCCTTCAGCCATGCCACATGGTCCAATCCTGTCTCTACCTGAGTTTTAGAAGTGAAAAGTGTGAGCCTTATCTGAAATCTTTATGCAGGAATAGGGTTAAAGAAAATCATCGGCACTGAAAGATGAACTAGGTTGTCTTACACCAGCCTATCTGACAACTGTTCAAGCTGGAAGATTACCATCAGGCAAGGATTAGTATCTGTGTGCAGTGAAAATCTTCCAGACACTGGAACTGGCTAGCCGAGTTCAGTGCTGGGCCGCAGCTGACTCCCACCTCCATGTTCCCCAGTTGGGCAGGCAGGGAGTGTAGCTCTTGATCTGGACCAACACTATCCTCCAACAAGGGTGCATGCATGTAAAATTCCCTGGCTCTGTGAATAGACACTTTGTGTCTCGTTACACAAGGATCACTAATGCAGTGAAAGATGAGGAACAATTTAAACTTTATACAGAGATGACCTAAACCAATATTCACTAGATCACAGAAAGCAGCTTGCAGTTACTTTACAACAACATACTATAAAGTACAGTGCGAGAGCATCCCAATTAACAGCTTGTCTTGGGACATAATAACTGTTGCAAACGGTCCACTGACTGAAAGAACAGGGGTCCTCAGCTCTGTTTCTTTCTGCAGCCCTATCAGGTAAGCCCCATCACTCAAGAAGCACATAGCAAACAATACTGTATAATGGTGAAAGCTGAACACCTCCCATTCTTCATAGGTGTACCTGAGCTTCTTCCCTGATTCCTTCATATTCCACCCTCATTTTCTTCTGAACATTCTCATCAACGCTGGGGTCACCTATCCTGTTGAACAAGGAAGCAGCTTCCTCTAGCAGCCTTTCCAGCAGGACTGACTGATTTAAGACATCATTCAGCAGAACCTGAGCATGGCTCAGCTGCCACTGCTTCTCCTTTAAGCCAAGCTGCAACTCAATGTCAGGTTCCAAGGTCACCCTCATGTTGTGAATCCATGCGTAAAACTCATCTTGGGCTTTCAGGTACTCACTCCAGTGCAGCCAGACCCACTCAATACGGCTGTTGGGGAGAGCAAGAGAGATGAGTTAGATGAAATTATGATGGGAGTGGTGGAGACTGGCAAGCTCAGAAGGCCTTCAAAGCAAAGGACAAGGTTCTCAGCAAATTTAAGCTGCTCTGACTTCAGAAGGTCAGGATTCACAGGTACTCCCTGCTCGGGGAGGAAATATTCTGTACAAGGTCCCTGGGCCTGGCAGAACTCATCATTCAAGACTGTGAGATGGGCTGACTGTGAAGGGAGAGAGCACTGAGGTCCCACTGACCCTCTCTCCCCGCACAGTCCCTCACATGCCCATGGGACTGGGATTAGCAGTGATTGCCATCTACAGTCCAGACAGCAGAGAAACGTAGGAAGCACTTGATGAAAGCACTGGATGAGGCACCTGCCTCAACACACCAAATAGCAGTCTTGTGCAAAGAGTACGTTTGTCTTACCTGTGACAGTGAGTAATGTATATGGCTGTCTCTTCCCACAAGGCTTTAATGTCTTTCAGTTTAGATAGCACCTCGTGCTTCTTATCCTCACCGATGCTGCGAAGAGCAGTGTCTGCCTTTGCAAGAATCAAGTCCATTTTCAAGCTGCCTTCTGGTTCTAGTGCAAGTATTTTCTATGAGAAAAACAAATGAGACTGAAAGCATGACAAGAAAGCAAGTGTAATCATTGCCATTTAAACTTTTATCCAGGATTCATGAAGTCCCTACTGCAAAGCTTCTCCTGAAAAAGAAACCATGAATTTCTCTTCAGATTTATTTATTCTTAAACATCCTAAAGGACTGAACTGAATTGAAAACCATGTAGCAATTGAAAAAAATTTTAAGTTATCTACAAAAACCAGATCATCTCCTGTCAAGTATCTGCAGCTGTGTTTCCACTGCATTATAGAGTTATAGGACTATGTTGCCACATGCCAGTTGTTCTCCCCCACCTGCCAAAGAGTGCAGAGGCAATCTCCACAGGGTACGCTGCAACGTCTTAATGAAGCACATTAAAAAGGCTTCCTACTGCAAATAAAGGTTGGCTCAGAACACAAGCCAAGAGAAATTAACTAGTGGAATTTTCTGCCTGCTACCAACTTTTGCTTTGACCCTAAATTCCTAAGTTATGAATTGGTGAAAACGTGTGTCTTACACAAACTGGAATGCCAGGAACTGAAAGTTAAGCCATCTAGTTTAAGTAGATTCTCTTCCTCTACCCAGAGATGGAAAATCAGCACAACTTCTGTAAAGCGTAACAGATTAATTATGTCCTGATTTAGGTATCAGCTATCAGCATCACTTTATCCAAATTTCTGACACCACCAGATTAGCTTTTCTTGCTGTTCTTCCACAAACTCCTGGCAAACTGCAGGCTCTCAAGCTTGAAGGAAAAAGCATCTATAATGAAAACGCTGAGAGGTTCAAAATCAGCAACTACTTTTGGAAAGATTAGGCCCACGGGATTTAAAAAAAAAAAAAAAAAAAAAAAATCACATCAGTTATTGAGAAGGTGAGACCAAATCACAGGCCTTTGGATTTCCAGGCTCACATTCTGGGAAAAGATTTTTTTTTTTTTGGCAGGTACACAGCACATCTGCATGTGACATACAAACAGGTGTTTGGACGAACTATCAACTATGAAAAGTGTGATTAAAAGAATCCAGGAAAGCAGGGCAAAGGGTAGGACAGAAAAAGAAAATGAAAGCTATAGCTATCACCCGACAGGAAAAATTTAAGAGTAAAGCTGTATTCTAAGCCTGACATTCTTCCAGCAAGTGAAAAGCAAACAACAGCTGGAGAGAAAGCAGTGGCTGTACAGGCATTTTTCTTTTTCAAATCTGTTTTTTAAATGACTGCTATCTTTGGCTGGAAATTTCATTAACAAATTAACAGAAAATAAACCACAGGAAGGAAGCATGAAAAAAAAAAATGTAAACCAGATACAAAAAGAGAACTGAAAAATGATCACTGGATCTGAAAACAGCCAATAGGTGAAGCAGCGAGCACATCACAAGGAGACACGAGCTGGACAGGGAAGCCAGGCCCAGAACGGAGGCAGGATGAGGGAGCAGGAGGTAGATAATGTACACACAGGAAGAGAGAACAGACACTTGTTATTCTTTAGAAGATGAATTTTCAAAACCTGAATTGAAAAAAATCTTCTAATATGATTTTGTGCATGTTACAGACCTCCTCCAAAGCCCACAGAAGTCAACAGCCTTCAGTTCAGCCTTCAGTTCACCACAAACCTCTAAACCTTCCATCTTCTTATCTCTGCCATGAACGCACCCCCTTTGCCAAGCTACTACTCTCCCTACTCAAGCTCCTGTGTTTCTTGCAAGTTTTTTTGAGACTGTACATATCATAGTTTCCCAGACAAAAGGAAAGGGTGAAAATAATTTAAGGGTAGAAATCAATCTCTAGACCAAGAGGAAATACTTCAGATTTTCATGACTGACATGCAAGTATAGCCATCATCCATCACTCTCTATGTTATGCCAGAGACAAGATCCAGCCTCCAATGAGCCACAGTTAAGGGAAAAGGCTGAAGACATTGCTGTACCATCATGTGAACTACCTTGTCCTCCCTGTAAGCCTGCAATGCTTTTTTCTGGAGTTGTTAAACTTCAGAAGAGGCACTCCAAACATAAGTAGACACATAGAAAGAAAGAGTCTTGGGTAAATAATGATGGGAGAGATTTGGCCATTTAATTAAAGAACAGCCTAATTGGAATTAAAGGCAATACAAGTATAAAAATAGTTTCAGTGTTAATCATAGAAGTATCACTACTCCCTCTAATCATGAATGGTAGAGATGGGACAAAAAAGAGTGTTTCACTCTCTGAGATTACAAGAACATGATAACATCTAATGAAACTAAAGTTAATGAATGTGAAATCACAGTAAGAGAGCAGGCACAATCTGCAATGGGATCTCTGTGAGAAGTTATACAAGAGATTAAGCAAGAACAGAAAAAAATTAAAACATTTACCTTTTCATTAGCCAGATTATAAAGGGGAGCTGTAAACCCTCTTATCATCAGGATTTATGGAAAAGGACAAGGGGATTACACTACAACATCCCATTACTAGGACACTGCAGTCTTTATCGGTGCCAGAGTCCTGGAGCAGACGAACACTAATGTGATCTGATTCTCTCTTGCTACATGCTGGACTTCTCCAAATCACTATCTGGTTATTTCAAGCAGCAACTCCATTGTTTCAGGTTTGAGCATGCTCATAGGAGAGAGTAAACATCTTAGGCTGCCAAACCTGCTGCTAGTCTTCCAATCAATTTGAAAAGCTTGGGAGCCTGTGATACCAAATTGCCATCCTCTTTTTCTATAAAAAATAGAAAGAATACTAGTATAAACCCATCCACATAGGACCAATATTCCAGCAAGCAGGGGCAGCTGATAGTTTCCTAATGGAAAACTCCAGATCTCATAGCAGTAACTGCTGTAACAACAGCAGCAGTGACAGCCACCTCCAGATAGGTACATCACTCTTCCCTTACCTCAGTCTCTCTCAGTCTGGCTTCTAGGGCAGATCGAGGTCCCTTGGTGTTGTCATTGATCCTCAGCCTCTCTTGGATGGCCTTCATCCAAGCTTCTGCATTTTCCACACTACTGTCAAATTCATCCTGCAGCTGCTGAGTCATTGCATTCGAAGAAGCTGAAAGGATAAGAAACAGGGAAGTAAGTAGGTTTTGGTTAAGACCTAAACAGGAGTGCATTCAAGGCAATCTAAAGGAGTAAGGGAGAAAACCCAACGTTGTTGTTGCTTTCCTTTTCAATGGTAATACCAGAAAATGTAGCAGTATCACAATGCAGTCAAGCACAGAGAACACCTTCACACTGCAGCTTTCCCAAATGAAAATATACCAGGAAACAAAAAGAAGGTGGGGAACTGTGGGAGGCTCCATTATAGTAAAGAGATTTAATTCAAAGCTTAGATTAATCTGGTGTTTGTAGTGTATTCCAGATTGACTACACAAATCACAAACATTTCTGTCTCTTCCCAGAGCCTAGGCAGTACAAAACTCTCCCTATGCCATTCCAGAGCACTTATAAACCCCTTAAAGCTGGTGAGATCAGGATCAGATGCTTAGGCCCTCAGTTCTGCTAAGACCTTGGAGAAGTTATCCAAATGCATGTGCAGTGAGCCTGGGATATACAGACACAACGGGAACTGGCCAGGAACAAGACAAACAACTCACAAGCAATCTCATGGGAATCTCAACACTTACGGATTTCTTCTTTTGCCAACTCTTACTCCATACCAGGCTCTGAGCTTTTCCTTTTCCCCTCCCTCCCTCTTGCTGCCCCAGTCAGAGGGCAGCTGTGGTGGTTGCTTGCTCCATTGATGTACTCTTGTGTCTTCTCTGTTTAGAGCATAAGCTCTCTGCTGCCCAGATCTCTGCCTGTACAACAGAGGAGAGCCATCCTACGCTCGCCCTCAGGCACTGCCATACTCAACTTGACTAATAAGGATGAATCATAACAAAGCCCCCTGTAGGTCAGCTCTGCCAAAGTGAACAGAGAGACAGCCATTGACATTAAATGGTTTTGGATCACATCCTACAGCTACTGCCAGCCAAGCAGTCTCTCTTGTAAATGAAAATATTCTTCCTCTTTGTTACTGATCACTGACATATTTTTGCAACACAGAGTTTGAGGGTTAATTACTGAACCCAAGTTTGTTGTGCAGAATTCAGTTCCACAGCAGCCCCCTCAATTTCCATGAGATAATTCATGTGGAAGAAAGTGCTTGGTGTGAGAGGCAGAGCATGGCTCTTGGCGAAGCTGGACCAACGGTGTTTTGTAACCATTTTAACTCCTGGCAGCTCAGTCCTTACAGGGGAGAGGCATCCTGCTTCTGCCCACTGGCAGAAAGCTTCCCACCACCCTGCTGATGTTCCTGCACAAGGTAGAAGGATCCATGCAGTATTAGATGTCCTCCCCCATAGCTCCCAGTGCATTTTCTTCCACATTAGACCAGAGGAAACAAGACATTAGTGTTTGCAGCACTGATTTCTGGCAACAGAAACAGTGTAAATCGTTGCTTCCCAGCCTTCAGCAGGGTTTATGCTCAACAGGTCCCAGAATAGAGTGAGAGAGGTGCACCCACACAGCAGCTACTGCCCTACGCACCAGGATTACTGGAGCAGAGGACGGGTCAGACCTCCATGTGCAGACCAGCAGAGCTGCATTACATGGAAGAGGGAATTCCTCCCTCAGTGGGAGATGTCAGATGGGGCAGAATCCAAAGCTGCAACTCTCAGAGCTAGAGGGCAGTTTTAAAAAGTGTGACCTCGCCTTGAAAAGATTAAAGAATAGAACAGGATGTACTGGATTTAGTGAGGGTGATGTGGCATGGGGCAGCTACTCCCTCTCTCAAATATAAAAAATATGACAGGATATAAAATTAAAGCTAAAATCATTGACTTACATCGCAAGAGTCCTAAGGATGAAGCCAGCTAAAGGAGTCATGTTATTTTCAGTGAATTGCTAGATAGCTGTGTCTTTCTCCAACTGTGACTGATCCAGAACTGACATTCCTGAACTATAATAATCCAGCCCTCAGAAAAGAGCACACATCTCTTTGCAGCTGACTGATCAACTCATTTTCACATTAACATTTCTCATTCTACCTGGCAGCCATAGAGGGACTGCCCCCTACAACTTTCCCTGTTACGTATATACATTTCTGGGCAAACAGTTTCTGAATGTGTGACCATAAGCTATGGTGATTCCAGTTATGCTATTGTGAAACGAAACCTCATGGTACATTTGCTGGAAATACTCTGATGAGGAGCAGCATTCATTTCCTAGGAGAAGTTTCTATTCCTGGCAACATATACATCATATTTAAAACTGGCATCAGGACTCCAGTCATGGAGTAGCTGATACAGAACATTAGGTTATCCTAGTCCTAGTTCTTGGAAAAAGTAGAGGGCAATCAAACATGGTTAAGAAGCAGTGGAAAACCTACTGTCACCTAACATGAAGAAAACCCTACTCACACTCTGCCCTCCTGCTGCTGTCCTCTGAGCACAAGGATTTTCTGTCCAAAACGCACAGACCCCCATCCCACACACAGGCATTCCATGTAAGCAGCCAGTGCAGGAAGCCATGAAAAAGTGTTATTTCAATATTAACATCACCAGTTTGCAAAGGAAGAGAAACACTTTGTTAATCCAACTGCCTGCATAACATTGTTGACTGATTCTGACTCAATTCCTACACCTAAAGCACCATAAAGATGATTAAATTTAGCAGGGACTCTGACCCAACGCCCAGGCAGATTTCATGGTAACCTTATGACCTGCAATACCTGACATGGGTTTGGGCTGCCTGTTGAGACAGTGTCCTGTCCTCCCGCTTTCCTCCACACCTGGCAACCAGACCCTGGCTGAAGCAATCAGCTATGGTGTTCCGGAGTCTTTTGTTCTGGAACCCACTCACCCTTCCCAGGCATTAAAGGCATGGGTTGAGACCTGCAAGGAAAAAGTATGTTTTCTAATTTATTTTCTGCCTGGGAGGAAGAACAGCTGTTGACTCTATCTGAAATTTGGCAATACCTGTAATTTCTTCGCAAATGTTCCTAAAGCTGGGATAAGTGATTACTGGGTAAGTGTTAACAAATCAACAGTATTTACCACATTTCTGCTGCATCATTGGGACTAACTGACCGAGCAATACTCTGGATTTGAAATACAGGGCTCTGATCAGTACAAGAAATACAAAGGAGACATAGCAGCTCCTGGAACAGACCTGAGCTGTTCAGCTGTGCAAAGCCAGCATTCACAGCCCAATCTGCAACAGCAGCAGACCATTAGGGCCACCTGTACCACGGCGGGACAGCCCCTGTCCCAGGCTGCAGGCTCAGTCACTAAGACCCATTGTACTGGGGAAAGCCTCCCCTTAATCACAGGTGCGATCCTCTGAGCAATTTGTACAAAGTTATTTTTACCATAGTCATTTTCAAATGCATGTAGCTGTTCAAAACAGCTTTTTATTTTAATGCCACTTCAATCGGTGTATTAATTCATACCATGGAAGGCGTATTTGTACCGCAGAAAGCTTTTAGCGTCTCTATACATATGTTACTAAATGAGGGTAATAACTATGCCTAAGAAATTCTGGCATAGATAATGAGATGCTGAGCAAAACCAAGTTTTATTTGTCCAATTGCAATAACACAGTTACTTAGTAGAGGTAAGGAAGAAGCATATTTCGGGGTGCTGAGCGTAACTGACCCAGGACAGCTCCTGCAGCACATCCAGCGGTTATAAAAAGCATGTTTCAGGAACAGGAAAATCTAAGACAGACAGGTATTAGCTCTGGAATCCTTTAGCTGAACCTCTTCCACAACACTAGTCTCGCTACCTTCTCTCAATCGCCCTTCATGGCCCCCAAACCACCAGCTGGCAGTGCCTGGCTGGGCACATGTGTTTCAGTGCCACAGAGGGCACGATGCCTCAGCCCTCGCCCAGTCGCCCTGCCGGAGCCACCGCACACCCGCAGCGCAAGCAGGGCTTGCACTGGGCCGCCTGCGGCTCGGTTACTGCACCTTTGGAAGACGGGGAGATGAACTCCTGTGACAGCACACACCTGTCTCAAGTCAGCATCACTCCTCTCTTCTCCTCTCTCCTCCAGGCACAAACCCATTTAGCAAGGAGGGCAGCCAGAGGATGGTGACCCACCGCCTGTTCCCAAACTGCCCGAGGAGAAGGGGCAGCTGGCGGGGTGCTGGGGGCACATGAGCTGTCCACCTAGCTTGCCCACAGGCTCAATACACCAAATTAATGAGATCCAAAGCAACAGCAAGCTGGGTTTTGATTATAAAAACCTGCTCAGCTCCTGAGCTGTGCCCTGTTTGTGTTGGGCCGGGCTGAAGGCAAGAGATACAGAGGCAGCCTTGTATCAGCTCTGGTCTTGGAGCTGTCTTGCTGAAAGAGCAGATAAATTAATTAGCTGACTGCTCTGCATTATAGCTCTCGGTATGTAGCAGCACCATGGAGGTATGCGGAGATGCCTGGGTCTCCACGGCAGACCCCGACGCAGTGAAAGGCACAGATCCTCCTCCATGGGATCCACCAGCACTCGCGGGGCCGCATTGCTCTGAGCACTTCTTCCTTAGGTACAGCTACTTCAGCAGCCTTTCTAGTGCATCTAATAACTCTCACTAGGGTATTGTGAGATTTACTTATTTCATATTTGTAATGTACTACTGAGAGCTTTTATTTTCCAAGTGCAGTGTCTTTTTGTTAGGATTATTCTATTATTTTGCAATGTCTCCTAACATACTATTTTTTCTCTGCCAAGTTGTGCCTTTTTTTTTATAAAAAGAAAACTTCTTAAAATGTTTCTCACAACCACTCCCATTTTAAACATTCTTTTAAGCCCTACATTTATAAAACATAGACTTTAAAATGGTTTCAGTATGTCTTGGATTCCTATATTCATATCCTACTTGACTGGTTTCCAGAACTCAGTTCTTACAAAAATAAAAGTACAGAAATGCTCCAGGAAATTCAGATCACTCACCATTAGGGAGACTGTGTCCAATTACTGAAATCCTTCAAACTTTTCAGAACACTTTCCATTTGGTTCTGGGTTTGAACGTGGAAAAAAAAAAAATTAAAAAAGCCCACTGGGCTGTGTCAAATTTTATACAAATGCATGAGTGTGGAAGCAATTTTGGTTCTGGGAATTGTACTTGAAATATTTCATAACCTTTCAGCTTCCCTGGATATAGTAAAGAGAGCCCTGAGAAGGAGCAGAGCTGGGGGGTGCTGACCGGCCTGCTCCAGGCTGGAGCAGAAGGTCAGTCCTTGGCACAGATCAGAGAGGCAAAGCACTGACCGCTGTCTTTCCAAAGCTGAATATTCCTGGTCTACTCTAGGAGGAGCTATCTGAAATCACCAGTAGCTGATGCTTTGCCAGCCGAGGGATTGAAAGCCTCCAGGGAGCCGCACCCACTTAGAGAAGAGTTAAACTGCCTGAGTAGGTGCAGAAGCCCTCAAGGTTGCAAATAAACGATGTAGTTATTTCCAGCATAACCTTTTAGAGGCTCAAAACATTAATCCTATCGTCCTGGCCATCTTCCACCACAGCCTTTTCCTGTGTTATTTGCAGTGAATGTTTATGACAGTCAGCGATTGTTTGCCTTAATTAATGAGCCAGAGAATAAAAAGTTTTTTGGAATAAACACATCCATATCCTAGTTAGAAGCATCCCCTTCAACCAAGGAATGCTAACCTCATCAGTACATATAGCACTCATGCATATTATAATCATTTCCCTTACAAAACAATCTATAGGAAGCCTATGGCTAATACAAGACATTCTGCCACAACATGATCACACCCGACAAGTTTCTATCTATTTGATATAAAAACCTGAAAAGCAGAGAGGAAAAAAAAAAAAAAGTTTGTCAGACATGCTTTGTGCAGGCTAACCGTGAAAAAGTCTAATTTTTTTTCAACTGTTTGGTTAAAGATTAATTTCAGACTTTGGTGAGAGCCAGTGCAAATGGGTATCTTTTTGCTTTCTAAGAACGCTGTGGAAAATAAGTAATTCCCACGTCTAAAAAAAAATTTCCTAAAAAAGAAATAAAAATTTTAAAATAGTTCTATTTCTGAGTGGAGTCATCATGTGCAAGTAAGGCAGAGTTGGTTCCTGGGGCTATCTTCCCTTTAAGTATCAGGAATGACAATCTGTAGATCTGACCACAGCATTTTTAGTTTTCATGTTTTAATCTTCTCCTACTTTGGAAGTAAAAAGTATAGGTGAGGACTCTTAATTGCAAATCTCCCCCCGCTCCATACACTCCACACACACACACTCCTGCATTCCCAGGTCACTCTAGGAGACAGGCTGGTCTACCATCATTCAGCTAGGTAAGTAAAATGCAGGGTTTAGTACTGGTTTAGAACTCTTTTTTTACCACCAGGGACACAGCGTATCTGTATTGGATATCCATCTGGTTTGACTTTGATCTTCTCTCCCCACACTACTGAGGCATTAAACAATCTTTAGAGCATTTATTCATTCAGCCACCCCAGGGAGTAAGGCTATCTCTATCCCCTGTATAGGTACCACCTCAGGTTCAAAGGCAGTTTGTTTCTTGCCTCTAGGCAATAAGGAAATACTTGAAAGGACAAGAACAAAATTGGTAATTCCAGTAATAAACACTGCAGACAGTGATTTGCAGCCTTTTCTAATGGGCATACCTTCATGTGTCTCTACAGAGATGCACATCTCTCTACTGACTTTAGACTTAATGACAAGAGACCTGCTTTTCCTAGTTACTGCTCACAGACTCTTTAGTCTGGGAAATCCCAGGTTAAACACCTCTGGTCTAAAACTTCAGCAGAGATTCCTCAGATCCAGGGTATCTACTTTGGAAATTGCCCCTGGAGGGTACCTGTGGCTTTACCAGCAATCTACATCTTGTGAACTTGTCCCCAGCTGCTGGAGTAGGCTAGGTTTCAGCTTTGCTCAGCTTCCTAAGAGTTTTATCATCAGTCTGCCAAAGAAAAAGCACTGCAAGCCAACAGCATTAGTCTCACGGTCTCTGGAGCCTAGAATTTATGTATTTAATTATCTCCCACTTGTCCTCCACAGACTGGGTGCCAGTCACAGCACTGATATACTGACTAATCAACCTCTGTGGTATCTGCCTCTTGGCTAGAGATCAGTGAAAAATTCAGAGTGAATAATATATTTGATAAATCGTTCCTCTTTTGCTGGTCAAATACTGTGTACAGACAATCTCATTTTCTCAAAGGTGCAGTTATTCCTAACTATTTGCCAAATATGTTCTGCAAGTTAGTTTTGCTCTGTAGACTATTCCCAAGTAATTCTTCCTTGTGATTCTTAATACCCCAGCTGCGCTGATTAATTTTGGTTTGGCATCATGACCCTAGTGAGAAATTGTCCGTCTTCCCTGGCTGGCCGTCAGCAGCTCCTCTCGTTTGTGTGCAGTTTGTCACACGGTGACTCCTGAGGGACATTTTCATAATCAGGACCTCAATGTGTTGAGCCACATATGAAGCCTGTGCTTTTGCAGCACACTGCAGCGAGCAGAAGTGCCCTACAGATAAAAGGATAATACCGCTGTCCCAAAGAGATTACAGACGACACGTCAGAGGGCTTCAGCAACGAAAGCAAAGCGTCAGTGTGTACTGAGGGACACAGAGTGGTGGATGGAAGAAAGGGCTGTTATTGCCTGCAGCTGCATTTCCAGTGCTCCATGCAAGCTGTGGTGGTTCCACCACCCACATCCTCCACCCACCCCCTGAAGCCAGAGATACCGAGATCCTCAAGCCCTGCTTGAGCACAGGGCCTGCAAACACACTGGGACTCAGAAGCATGTCTCACACCAGGAGAGAGGATTCATTGCACCGAAACTCGGGCTGCCAGTGGGACACCTTGAGCTAGGAGCCCTGCAATTCCCTGGGGAGTCAGTGCAAGAGAGGGGCACTTCCAA